GTCAAGTAGGAAAGGAGATCTTGAGAGGTAGGTGTCTCTTCTGACAAGCCTGGTTTTATTTTTATATTTCTGAGGGGGAGTATGGAGAGAGGAGGTTTTAAAAACTGCATTTTCCCTTGAAGCTGCTATAAGGCATGTGTACAAATCCAGGTGCATGGAGTGAGGCCCTGGAAGTGTTTAAGAAGCATATGCAAAGCAAACGAGCACAGATACTCCAAGGAGCCACCCCTCCTTTGTGCGAATAGGCTGTCTGTACAGGGGGCAGACTCCACCTGGGTTAGAGACTGTCCTGCCCCCTAGTGTCCACAGGGAGGTACAGGATGGCCCACAGCCCAGGGAGGAGTAGCTTCTCTCTCAGCTTGGTAGGGTTGAAGGCCTGGTCCTCACTGGGAAAGCTCCTGGAACATGAAGATACAGAGCAGTACTGAAGAATCAGACCCAGCTAAGGAGAGAGCTGTGTTCATGTGGAAACTCCATATACTGTACTCTGAGACTCGGGCAGGGGAAAGGCCTGGGCCTGGAGAATCAGTGGAAGATTCCAGCCTGTCTTATATCACGTGGTTTGGAAAGGACTGATGACCAAGTATGCCCAGTGGCATTATAGCCTCACATTGGAAGCTTGCAACCCGAACTTGTTCATCTAGAAAACCCGGGCGTTTGGGAGGGAGATGGCAGAGGAGAGGACTGTCTTGTAAGTGCTGACACTCAGTGAAAAGAAAAACTGACCATGAGGACCTGGCAGCAGGTGGGCACTGGGCACTTTGTCTCTTCCCTGCTGGACTCTGAGCTGCTCCAACTTAGGGCCCAGGTCGCCCCTTGTTCATGCTTAGTGCCTGGCACAGGGAAGGTCCCTTTAAAAAGGATAAAGACAGGTTTTAGAAAAGGAAGAGCAAGGAGATTCAAACTATAGTTGTGAAGTATTCAGAAAAGCCCAAAACTTAACTGATAAGAAATTAGGCTGTGGTCTCAGGGGGCCAGGGAGCAATGAAGTTTTGAGAACCTGCCTGGCTTTTCCTTTTCCTTGTCTCATGTCTTTATCTTTTCCTCTCCCTTTTTCTTCCTCTTACCTCTCAGAAACAAGTGATCTTCCTTTGCGAATGCTATCCCTCATCATCTTTCACTTTCTGCAGGGTTTCATCCCATTGGCTGTCTTACCCGGATTTCACCTCCACCTCCACTTCCTCTGCCTCTGCTGACATACACCCTTTTCCTACAAAGGCGCTCAAGGTTTCCCATCCTACGAGATGTTTCCACAGCCTTAGCCATGCTAGTCTCTGTTGTCTCATTTTTCTCTCCGCCGCCATGCCTCTGGGAAGAGGACCCTGTGGCCTTCACTTATTCATTTTTTATTTTCCTGTTTGCCCACTTCTTTTGACCATTTTACGGCATAACACATAATGCATACTATTCTGCACCTTGATTTTTTTTAACTTAACAGCACTATTAGATCTTTTTTGAATCAGTACATTAAGAGCTTCCTCATTCTTTTTTATAGCTCCATAATTGTCCATCGTATGTATATGCCATGATTTATTTAATCAGTCCCCGTTGATGCTTATTCAGGATATTTCCAGTCTCTTGCTGTTAAACAGTGTCGCAGTTAATAACCCTCTATGGGCCAGGAGTGGTGGCTCACGCCTGTAATCCTAGCACTCTGGGAGGCCGAGGCGGGTGGATCGCTCAAGGTCAGGAGTTCGAGACCAGCCTGAGCAAGAGCAAGACCCTGTCTCTACTAAAAATAGAAAGAAATTAGCTGGACAACTAAATATATAGAGAGAGAAAAAATTAGCTGGGCATGGTGGCGCATGCCTGTAGTCCCAGCTACTTGGGAGGCTGAGGCAGGAGGATCACTTGAGCCCAGGAGTTTGAGGTTGCTGTGAGCTAGGCTGGAGCCACGGCACTCTAGCCCGGGCAACAGAGTGAGACTCTGTCTCAAAAAAAAAAAAAAATAACCCTATATGTGTCATTTTTTGCATGTTTGCAAGTCATGTCTATAAGAAAATCCTTAGCAGTGGAATTAGTCTAGTGGGGACACAATTAATACCAAAATAAACAAAAGCTTATCACTACAAGTATGTCAAGTGCTATGAAGGAAATGAGCAGGGTTCTGTGAGAGGAAACCAGGGTCAAATTCACATCAGTGGGTCAGGGAAGGCCCATCGGAAGACATGTTTCTGTTGAGCCTGAGGGTGAGTAGGAGTTAGCCTGCTGAGGCCATGAGAGGGGCCTCCTGTTGAAGGCCAAGGCTGCAAGCCGAGGGTTCAGGGAGGATCTTGTTCACTTGTGTTTCGATCTGAGACAGCCATCACAGGTTTCCTCTGAGACCTTGTCTTGCTTCTCTGACCCTGGAAGCAATTTATTCTTTGTAGGTATGATAATCCCTCATGTTTGTGTTATATTTTGCAGATTTCAAAACCCTTTCATTTATCTCAGAGGGTCTCTATGACCACCCTACAAGAGGGCTCAGGAGAGTGAGATTTGCTGGAGTCACAGCACATGGTAGCAAATGGTAGAGCCTTGACTGGAATCTAGTTCTCCGGATTCTACCGATTTCCATATTCAGCAAGCAACTATTGAGCACCGTCACATGGCAGACTCTAGGCAAAGTTTGTTTCACTTCAGTACTAAGTGAATCTTCCAGCACTCATAAAAATAAAGCTTTTTTCCCTCTGTGGTCTCATTTCACCTTCACAACAGCCCAGAGTGGTCAACAGAGTCCCAAGATACAGAAGAGACTTTTGACACACAGATGAAGAGGCTTTCTTAAAATGACAGGGACTCACGCCTCTTCCCACAAGATGAAATTGCTTGGAATTTCCAGGACTCTTGTCCCTTGGGCTGTTTGTAAGGACTCTTGCCTCCTGTGAGGCTGGCCCTCTATGCTTTTTCTTCTTGGCTGTGAAGATGGGGAGGGCAGGAAAACCTGGCAGCTGGCCTGGTCCATTAAGCAGCATGCCCAAGCTCAGGGTGTCAGGGTGGCCTCCCAAGAGGAGGTGGCTCAGTGGGGAGGGAATGGTGCTGGTGGCCGGACATGTGCTCATCAGCTCCACAGCCAGCCCAGGAGAGGCTTCTGAGTGTGCTTGGGCCTTGCTGTCCTTCATAGCTCCTCTGCCTGCCCCTTCATGTGACGTCTCAATCAATGGAAACGTTGGTTTAAGGAAAGGACAAACTTTTTCATCTCTTGAGAGAAAAATGGGACATATAAGCCAAACTAGAGCAGCAGGGAGGATAGCCTGACACAGGGAGAGCTGCTTTCTGCTCAGCAGAGGTGGCTTTGAGCACAGGGGAGATCAAGATGGGCTGAGCTATTTCCTTGCCCAGAATCCTCAGCAGGAGACAAGCCCTTCTGAACCGGGTGGGCCCTGGGAAAGTGGGCCGGCTCAGAGAACTCAGTGGGTGCCTCTCATACCATCACTCCACTCCTCCTCCTCCTCCACTACACCCCCAGCTCCATCTCCTCTCCTGCCCCTTCCAGCCTGTCTTACCACAGCACTCCCTGTTGTATTTCCCATGATTGCCCAGGGAGCAGCCAGGTGACTCCATTTGGTGCCGCTCCTCTTGTACCTGCCAGTCAGCCAAACAGCCGTGCAGATATGGGCAACTTCCTGGGACCTGGGGTGCCAGCTGGAGGTATCCCTAGCAGGTAGGTCCAGACATCGGGGACTCTGCCTTAGGGCAGGAGCGCCAGCCCAGAAGCACTGGCCTTGCCTCCCAGCCTGATCAGCTCCTCCTGGCCCTCTCCTCTTCTCTCCTCTCCCTCCCTCACCCTCCTCATCCTTGAGAGCAGGCTGGGTTGGCCAACTCCTGGTCCTTTGCTCAGCTTGTCTCCTTGGTCCTGAAGGATGTGCATGCCAACTGCTCTCCCCATATTGCAGCATCTTCGGGATGGCCAGCCAGGTCCCCACGCTCCAGTCTGCCACGACTGGCAGCAGCAGCAGCACAGGGCTTGCCTTTGGAGGTGAGTCCTGCCTATGGGGACTCAGGGAGGGGATCTGAGACCAGGAGGAGACTGGAGACTCTGGACAGGGAGGGGAGTGGGGAGAGATGCACACTGAGATTTAGAGCAATGCTCGGTCCTCAGAGACTTAAGCAAATGAGAAAATAAATAAATACCTCTTTCTCCCATCTCTACCCATCCCACCGTGCACAGCCTTCACCAACCCTTTTGCAGCTCCTGCCGCCCAGCCCCAGCTGCCTTCCACCAACCCATTCCAGCCCAATGGCTTGGCCCCAGGTAAGCCTCCGGCATGGTCACCATTTGAGACTCTCCAGGGTGAATATTCCCCCACAGCCTCTCCCTTAACCCTCGTCCCACGCTGTCAGGAGAAGTGGCAAGCAGCCCCCATCATTCCCCTGCCCACTCATTGCCAGGCCACCTAGCCCCACCCGAGTCACAGAATCATATTTCCGAATTATAAAAAAACAAACTTCTACTTACTGAGACAGAGCTGAAGATCGTTTTTTTTTTTTTTTTTGAGGCAGAGTCTCTCACTCGCTTGCCTGGACTAGAGTGCCGTGGCGTCAGCCTAGCTCACAGCAACCTCAGACTCCTGGGCTCAAGCGATCCTTCTGCCTCAGCCTCCCAGGTAGCTGGGACTACAGGCACATGCTACCATGCCCAGCTAATTTTTTTCTATTTTTAGTTGTTTGGCCAATTTCTTTCCATTTTTAGTAGAGACGGGGTCTCGCTCTTGCTCAGGCTGGTCTCGAACTCCTGAGCTCAAGAAATCCGCCTGCCTTGGCCTCCCAGAGTGCTAGGATTACAGGCGTGAGCCACCGCGCCCAGCCTGAAGATCGTTTTAGTTGACCGACAGTGGCAGTGACTCTTCTGTCTCCAAGCCACAGCAGTGTCCCTCTGGGCACCTAGCCTCTCTTGGTTCCGTGTCCCAAATTTAAGCCACCTGAAACCACATCCCTATTCCCTGCTCATCAGCCCGAGTCCTGTGTTCTCCTCTCACCTTGGCCCTCCCCCTGCTCCCTAAAACGTCAAGGCCAGGAAGAGAAAAGAACAGGAGCTAAGAGCTCTGGAGCGGACCATGTGGCAGGCCCAGTGCCCGGTGCTTCACAGCCGTTGTTTAATTTTCACAGCAGCCCTGGGAGATAGGTACTGTCCCCATTTTAGAGATGAGAGAACTGAGGCACAGAGAGGGTTAGAAATCTGCCCTAGTTTATGCAGTTTAGTCAGTAGCAGGAAGCTGGGCCCAGTTCTGTGCCCGTGTTTATAACCACTGTGCTCTGCATGCCACAATCCCCCTGGCTGGGGAGAGGGCAGGTTTGGTTGGTTTTGTGAAAAGCTGAACAATTCCATGGCTCATTCGGGGTACTTCTACCAGGTACCTCTTGTTAGGGAAAAAAAATATATATCCCATTTGCCCATCTTGGAGGGATTTAGGAAAAACAGTTCTTCAGCCCACCTTGCAGTTCTCCTTAGTCGTGTTTCCCACTCCACAGGGCCCGGCTTTGGGATGAGCAGTGCTGGGCCTGGCTTCCCTCAGATGGGGCCACCCACCGGGGCCTTTGCCAGCAGCTTCCCACCAGCACTGTTCCCCCCACAGAGCTCTCTGACTCCACAGCAGAATGGTAAGGGGCGCACCCTCCTTTCTCCCTGCCCTGCTCTGTGCCATAGAGCCACGCCTCACAGACACCCCGCCCTTTTTGACCAGTAGGGGGCGCAGGGGGAGCGAGAGACCTGCCCATGTGCTCTGACTGCTCGGTACCTTTACTTCCCTCGTCTGGGAAGTCCCCTCTCGCTGTCCGCCTGGGGATGTAGCAAGTGCCTGTCCCGCAGGAGGGTGGGCGGAGCTGGTCAGCGGGGGCAGCAAGGCAGACTCTGTCCTTTGAGTTGTCTGTTGCTCTTGCCTCCCAGGCTCTTCCTTCTCAGGCTCCTTCGGGGACTTAGGATCGGCCAAGCTGGGGCAGAGGCCACTGAGCCAGCCAGCCGGGATCTCCACCAACCCCTTCATGGTGAGTGCCCCAGCATCGGGAGCGTGGTGTGGGGCATGGGCTTTCACTCTGGAGGTGGGGACAGAATCCTTCCAGAAGGGGGCGATGTGAGGTCCTACGTTGTGGGAGCCAACACCAGTGGGTTGGTCCCTGCTGGTTCTTCCAGGCCCTGTCATCTCCTGCCCTTCCCGGTGCTTCTCCTTCATTTTCCCCACTTCCCCCAGCACCGCAATTTTGAGGGAGAAAGGAATCCTGAACTGTGTTTCTTCTCTGGTCTCCAGCTTTTCACCCCTAATTTAATAATTTGTTGCATTTCTTTCCAGACTGGATCCTCATCAAGCCCATTTGCCTCCAAACCTCCAACCACCAACCCATTCTTGTAGCACTGTGTCACCAGGGGCCTCTTCCCTGCATTCTGGGGCCCCTCTGCTCCCTGGAGCTCTGGTGACCACTTGCCTGTGGGCATTTCTGTGGGCCTGGGACCAGCAGGGGCCCTGTGCTGCAGGGTAGGGGGCTTGGGGATGGTGGAAGTGCTGATGCTTTGCTCGGGGCTTACAGGCGAAGTGGCAGCTCCAGGGTCAGCTGCCCCAAAGACTCCCTCTCTCCTTCCCTCCCTCCCTCTTCCTGCCCCCACGGGGAGGGAGGCCCAGCAGGAATGAAGGCAGGGCCTGGTGGAGTCGTCATGGTATTTTTTCAGACTATTAATTATGATGACAGCCTGGTCCCCTCACCCCCAGCCCCATCCGTGGGTAGAGAAAGCTGTGGGCACAGACTGACCAGCCTTCCCCCATGGGAACAATTCTTCCCCCATGCTCAGCTCCCCAGTGCTGTGTTCCACGTGGACAGAGCGCAGTGGGGAAAGTAGGGTAAAGATGAGGCATGGTGTTGACAGAGACAGTGACAAGACAGCTCTGGGATCGAGAAAACCTGGACAGCCCGAGTGCTGTTGGTGGCCTAGCTTGGCCAGCGCACGCTTTTCTCCACCACCCACCATTGTTTTGCTTCCCCAGCGCCTGTCCCTGTCCTGGGCACTCAGGATGAATAGTTTTACCTGCGTACTCACAGGCCCAGCTCCTGTTAAGCACTTTAGTTAGCTGTTGGTGTCATGTTTGGATACCAGTGTTTTATATTTATACATAGAGAGAATTTTCTAATATAGCCCATTATATATATATATACATGCACATACGTACATATATACATATATATACACACACACATCCAGCCTGTCTCCTTCTCCCAGACGTCTCCCATCTGTGCCTCAACCATCAAAGCCAGAGCTCCAGGGGTGGGGAGAGGGCAGCCATGTGTCCTGACCACCCCAGAACCTAGGCTTTCCCAGGGAAAGGCTTTGTGCAATTGGCTGGTTTTTTTTTTTCTTTTCCCATGTGCCTTCCCCGCCCCCAAATCTCTGCACCAAAGCTCATTGCAGGCAATGCTGGAAAAGAACTGCATTTGAAAGAAAAGGAAAATGGCTGTCATGCTCTTGCTTTGGGCCAGCTTGAGGGGCCACAGGTCAGTCAACATGACTGATCCTTGACCTGGCTCTGCTAGTCTGGACTGCCTGGGTCAGTGACAATGCTGTGGTTGGCCAAGGACAGGACAGAGCTAGTCCCTGTCTGAACTGGAGTCCTATCTTAGCAATGGGCAGGAGCATGGTGGGAGAGGGGCTACCCCTGCGAGGGGTTGGAGTTCGGTAGATGTAGTGAGGGGGGGAGTTTCCACTGGGACTGGGGGTGGGCAAAGGAGGTTGGTGCCAACATGGAAATGGGAATAGACCATTCCTGGATCTGGGACATTCTCAGCCCTCCCCGCCCCCAGTCTGTTTCTACCTGGGGATGTTGTATCAACAGCCATGGACTGTTTGTGTGGTGACAAGACAGACTGCGGGGGTAAACACGTCACCTGGCTCAGGAGAAGCAGAGGACTCAGGCTTGCTGTTTGGCCCAAGGCCAGGAGAGGCCCTTCCCCTTCCACCATTGTCCAAGGACAATGTCCCTTCTGCCATTGTCCAGGGACTCCTGGCCCTTAGCTGTTCATTCTTGGGATTTCTTTGGGTCTTCCACAGAGAACAGCAGAGATGTGGGAATTGGGTTATTAGTTTATTTACTTTGCAGACTTTTCTGGAAGTACCCCTAGCTGTTGCTATTTGCCTTACCAGGGTTGGCCTCCCCACCTTTCAAGGGATCAGTACCCATGCTGTCTGTGTCTGTGTCCCTGTCCTCCCAGCCTTTACCCTCCTTCTGTCTCCAGGTGGGGCCTCCCAGGGGGCACCATCCTTTGTTCCCTGGGTTTTTCACATTCTCTCTGTTCCCCTTCTCCCAGTATTTTTCTCTGCCACCCTTGATTAAGTAGGGGCATCCTCCCTACTTCTGTCATCCATTCTTTCCTTTCTGCTTAGAGCCAGGGAGAGGGGAAGCTGAAATCTGTTATGGTGTAGTAGCATCTTTCCCCACCTCCCTCACCCTTGCCAACTCCAGGAACACTAGGTAGGAAATGGAAGGACAGGGAGCTGAAGGGCTTCTCACTGTGTTTCTGCCACACTTGTGCTGTCTCCTAGAGATTTCCTCACGGCCTAGTGCCTGGCCCAGGTCCTCCCTGCAGACCTCCCTCCCCTCCCAGTCACCCTGTCTGACATGGACTGCAGCCAGCACACCCGCCAGGGCTGGATGACCAGCAGGAGAAGTTATGCCAGGTCAGCCTCAGACCCCAGGGCAGAAAAATACAGGAGTTCCCTGGGCACAGGCTGAGAGAGGACTGCAGCTGCCTTCCTTGGCTCCGAAGAGCCCCAGTGCCTCGGGCTCCCATCCTCCATTGAGCTGCCTCTCTTGGCAGGTGGCAAACAACGGAAAAATCCCTGACCTGATAGGAAATGTCTAAATGATGAGGTTGTGTTCCTCCCTGCACAGCCGTGCTTGGTGGCTGCAAACGTGAACCCACTGCACACATTAGGCTGGAGTGACTCACCCAGGCTCACACCATCAACATGTGCCCCTGGCCAATGCTGTGACCATGTGCTGCAGACAGCAGTCCCCTGGCTTGGCCCCAGCTTTCAGCAGGTCACCTGTGGGCTACCCCTATGGGTGAGGAAGCAGGAGCCAGCCCCCAGATGCTCTCCACATTGGAGCCTGCCAGGTCACACCTGGGAGCCATGGGATGGGAGTAGGGGCTAAATGTGGCTGTCCTCTCATCCCCCTCCACAGAGGAGTAAGGACTCAGGATGCGGAGGGAGGGGCACATCGAACAGCCCAGTGTCCTCCCTGCAGGTTCCTCCCCCTGGTAACATTCTTCCATTGGAACCTAGAACATGATGCCCTGCCCCTGTCATGGAAACACAAAGGTAGACACCCCACACACACACCCACAGGTTGGGAGAAGTACTCTCACCCAGCACAGCTGAGGTTCTGCCACTTCCTGTCCCTGGGGAGCAACTCAATGTTACCTGGGCTACTGGGCTACGGCTCAAATAAATCTTTTCTGGGTAGGGTCAAGGTCAGTGTTGCCAGGGCAACTGACATGGGCCAGTTGTTTGTAGGCTCTTTCTGGTAGCCAGCAGGCCAAATTACCTGGCATTGATCACCACCTCACTCCCACCCCCACACCCTCCCCACCCCCTGCCCTGGGCTTGCCCAGATCCCTGCTGCTTCCTGCTTTAGCGTTACCCAGCACTCAGGGCTCAATGACACAAAGTGGTTTGGAGCTGGTCTCTGTGACAGCAGCTGTGATTTCACAAGGACTGGGGTGCTTCGAGTGTCCTGGTTGATGGGGAGCAGGAAGGAGAAGGTATGAAGAAGAAACCCTGCTTGGGTAGCTTCAAATCAAGCCTAGGGGAGTAAGGCTCCCAGGCCAGGACCACAGCAGGATGCGTCCTTGAGGTGGCAGCAAGACATCTTTTGTGTCCCTGCCACTTCACACATTGTGCCTGTATCAAGGCCCTTGCCCACACAGGGGACTATGGCCTTGCACACAGACCTGTTTGGTGGCCATTTACAAATCCATCGCATACCTGCCTCTCCTTGGCCAACATCCACCACAGGGCAGCTGCTGTGGCTGCCACACCCCCCACCCACACCCCCACCTGAGCTGTGGGCCTCTCTGCGCCTTGGTGGAGCTTCAGCTGATGGGAGGCACCTGGAGCAGGCCCTGGGGCCAGTCTGCCCACCGGCCAGGTGCCCATCCCTATGATACTCGTTGGTTCCCTGCATCTCACTCTCCCATGACCTTGGAAGAGGCGTGTGAGGACCCAAGCTCCTTGCACACAGCACACTGGCTTCCTGGTATGCTAGCTCACAAACAGGCCCCTTCCCCAGGAGGTGGAGAAGTGTGGGTGGGAAGCTCTGCCCTCCCCTGCTCAGGCTGCCCTGGGCCCTGGACTAGTCTGAGGAAAAGAAGCAGGTTTCCTTGCTTCCATTCTATTGTTCTATCTTGTCCCTTATCCAAAGGAGCCTCTCCCCGAATACCATCTTGAACAAGGGCCACATGGTGCCTCTTCTCTCCTGGACCCTCAGTGTCCCCCTTTAGGAATCCTACTTGCCTGAAAAATGATATCATCCGGTCTTCTAAGGCCTTACCATATGTCAAGTGCTGCTTTGTCTCACAGTGTGCGTGCCATCAGCCACCCTAAGTGCGTTGGTGGTCCTTGGATCAGAACTGAGGTGCAAAAATGTCCAATCCCCAACCCCCTCTCAAACCTCTCAGGACACAAGGAGCAAAGGGTACCCCGACCTGGAAGTCTGCATTTCTGTGATCAGAGCCTTTCCGCTGGTGGTGAGGTTGCATTTTGGGGCACTGGTGGTGAGGAGGGGCTGAGGGCAATGGGGCAGCATGAGGCGATTGCCCCTGAGAAGTGGCCTGTTCCTCAGCAGAATCTCTGGCAGGTATGGCCTATGCACAGGAACCAATCCGAAATTTATTCAAAGACACCTCTATCACCCCAAACTCAGTAAGAAATGGAACCTCTTGCTCAGAAGTCAATCCTGTGCAATCCTTAGCAGCCATGGCTCCTACGATTAGCACAAAACCATTCCCGGGGACGAAGGGGGCAGGTGGTGAACGCCTACAGGCCAAGTGGCAGGTGGCGGGAGCCGGGGAGGGCTGCTGCTGCAAGGGAGGCCCTGCTTGGCCACCCTCTAATCGCCAGCGCCCTCACCACGGACACAATTCAGTCACACTCGCCTCACACCGAAGCTTTCTCAGTTGCCCCGACCTGCCACTGTCGCGGCCCCCAGCCTGCCCGGGAACAGTCAGGTGACTGGTAGAGACACCCCCACACTCCCTGCCCCTACAAAGTACTCCGCGCCAGGGGCGGAGGACACCGCTCCAAGAGTTCCCAACTCCAGCGCGGGGGCCGGGCCGAGCCAGGGTTAACCTCAGGGGGTGGGGATTCCAGGAGCGGCCAGCGGGAGGGAGGGAGACAGGAAGGGAGAGGAGCCAGCAGGGTCGAACCTCTAAGGCCGCAGGAGCCCAGCGTGTCTTGGGCCACCAGGCAGCCGCTGGGGCACACGCTGTGCGCAGACCGTTCAAACTTCAAGTTGGGAGCTGAGCAGAGACGCTGAGCATCAACACGGGCCGCAAGCTCCCGCCACCTGCCACTTGGCCTGTAGGCGTTCACCACCTGCCCCCTTCGTCCCCGGGAATGGTTTTGTGCTAATCGCTTCTCCACTACCTCGGACCCGCCACCTCTGCTGGTCACTACCCGCGGCTCAGGCCGCTTTATTGCCGTTGGCTCAGGATGAAGCCCGCAGGCGGCGGCCCCACGGCAAGCCCAGAGTCCAAGTGCGCCAACACGTCCCTCGGCTTGCCGCTGCCCTGGGCCTGCCCGGACGACGTGCGGCTCTGCGGCCACCTGCGGAAGCAGAAGTCCCAGCGCCGCCGCTTCTTCGCCCTGCGCACCGATCCGCCGCGCCTCGAGTGTTACGAGAGCGAGAAGCAGTTCCGCAGCGGCCGAGCGCGGCCCCAGCGCAGCGTGAGCCTGGTGGGCGCGTGCACCATCAGCAAGCGCGCGGACGCGCGCCAGCGCCACTTGGTCGTCCTGTACACGCGCGACAGCAGCCTGGGCGTGGCGGCGGCCAGCGAAACGGAGCAGCAGGCGTGGTACAGCGCCCTGCTCGAGGTGCGCGCCGCCGCCGGTGAGGCCCGAGCCCCGGGCTGCAGGGGGCGGGAGGATCGTGGGTTTGGTTTATCCGTAGGCCAGGTCACCGAAAGTTCAAACATTAAGTGTTTACCTGTCTTCAGCTCTCAGGGCAGTGATTTCAACCTCTCAGTCAGGGAGCTCCCTGTGACCAGTCCATTGTCTCCCCAGGTCCCAGCTCCCACGAGGACCCCGGGACCTGGATCCTCTCTCCGTTCCAGGATATTTGGCCAGTGACTCTGCGGCCCAAGGGGCTGGGGCGGACCCGAGGCCTGGGCAGCGGCGGCTACCGCTTGTGCCTGGGTTCGGGGGCTCTGAGCCTGCTGCGGAAGCCTGGGGGCAGGGGCTCCCGGCATACCCGGGCATTGCCGCCACCCGCCCTGCGCCTGCCCCTGCTCAGCGTGCGCCGTTGCGGCCACGCAGACTCTTTCTTCTTCCTGGAACTCGGCCGCTCGGCGCCCACGGGTCCCGGGGAGGTGTGGTTGCAGGCGCCCGACGCTGTGGTGGCCCAAAACATTCACGAGACCGTCCTGGCCGCCATGAAGCGACTCGGGAGCGGTGGGGGCGGTGGCAGGGCTGAACCACTGCCCAGGGATTCTCCAACGAGCGCCTCCAGACTCTCTGTCCCCCAACCTTATGAGACCTCGGCCTCCGCGGCCCAATCAAGCAGCCTGAGCCGTCGGGGGTGCCTGGGTGAGAGGATCAAGCAAACAACCCTTAGGACCCCCGTGAGGCTAGGGGCGGCAGCCTTGTACTCTAAGAGGCTGGATCCGGGCGGGGGCTACATAAACATGAGAGCCGGGAGTGACTACGAGCCCATGGGGGGCGGCGAAGCGGGTGGCTACACGGTGATGGCGTCCCCAGGCCTTTGTCCGGCCACTGCCAGCGCCGCTCCTGCTCCCAGCCAGCCTCTCCAGGACTGGGGGGACACCGAATACGTGCCCATGAACCGCTTTCTGCCAGGGTCCTTTTCCTTGAGCTCTCTGCCCCATTCCTACAAGTCCGGGGCTGGGAAGCCTGGACCTGGGCTCCCGGGCGCCCATCGCAGCGTTGGGGGAAGCTGGGGACTGGCGGGGGTTCAGCCCTGTTCCCTGCCGCCGTCCGAGCTGGCTGGGAAGTACGTGTACATCGAGTATGCGGCCCCAGACTGCGTAGGAATGGCCACTGCCAGGCCGGACCCCCCCGACGGCCACCTCAACTACGTCGACTTGGACCTGGTTCCTCCTCTGGAGGCGGCGCGCGGCGACGTCCCCGGGGTCCCGAAGCTCCTCCCGCACAGCTACGCGCGCATCGAGTTCTAGAACCTCCAGGAGGCGCCGGTGAGGAAACCCGGGCAGCCCCGGATGCACGGGGGACGGGGGAGGGAAAGCAGGGCAGAGGTGGGATTGCCGCCCCCCACCCCCATGGAGGAGGGCTCCAAGGCCCAGATGCTCTATTGGAACATGTGACCTGCAGAGGCGATGAGCTCCCCCTTCAGGCCGCTGCTCGCTCTGTCCCTTGAGCTGTGGCGCCTAAGAAAACTTCAGTAGGTTTATCAAGAAGTTGAATGTTCAGGGGAGAAAATTCTAGAACCTCTACCCCTTCCCCCCCACCAAAACAAACCCCCCAAACGATAAATTTCTGGTTTTTCTCAGCTGAAGGCCTAATCCTCTCTGTTTCCCTGCAGAGTTTGTGCGTGCAGCCGGCTGTATTTGGCGGTGCCACCTTGCCACCAATGACATTTGTGTGGACCTGCCCCTCCCACACACACCTGCAGTGCCTTCCGTGTGTCTCCTCTAAACCAAAGAACTACTCCCACCCAGCCCCAGAGCTGAACTCCTGGGGCCCCAGCACAAGAAGAATGGGAGCACCAGGGACCTTACCACTTGTGCCCCTCCAAGTGACATATCTCCCCACCCCCAGTTTGCCTCTCTTAGAACCAGCCACGTGCTCACACAATCCTCCCTTCTCCCAGCCTGGCCGAGTTGATGGCTCCTTGCTTCCTACGTGTTCAGCCCCTCACTGTACTGTGGACCACCCATCCACCCACCCACTCATTAAAGGTGCTCTGCTTGGTCAGGCCGGAAATGCTTCAGGTGGTGGATTCCCTCACTGTACAGTAGGGGAGTGGCCAGTGAGGGACACAAATTTGGAGGAGGGCAGCCAATGCAGTGGGAGAGGAAGAGACCTCATCCCTGTCTCTATGCCCAACTCTGCCATCAGCCACAGGAGTCTGTTTTGCAAACCAACACTGTTTTATTGTCAACAGAATCTGCCTGGAGCAGTGGGGGCCCACTCTGTCCCCAGGAGAGTTAGGGACAATGTGTGTCTGGGGTCTGTGGGACAGAGGGGTCAGTGCAGTGAGAACAGCTGGGGCCACCACTGGGGCATGGCTTGTCAGAGACGGGGTCTGGGGCGCCAGCTGGGGCTGCAGGAGCCACCGAGGAGCTGGGTCTCGGCTCCCCCTGGCTCATCTGCAGCAGGCCGGTGAGGGCGATCAGCTCGGGCCCACTGAGCCAGGCAGTGGAGCAGCGTGGGGAGGGGCTGGGGAAGACCCAGGGGGACATGACCGGGGGTGGGAGCAGCAGCTTCAGGGAGCCCATCACCTGAGGAGAGACGAGGGAAGCTTTCCTGCCAGGCCCCTGGGGAGGAGGCTGGGGTGAAGCCAGCTCAAGAGCTCTCACCTGCTGTGGGGCCTCGGACAGGTACAGGGGAACACGCTGCCCACGGGGCAACAGAGGGTCCGACAGAAAGACATCTTCTCGGCACATCACCGGTAGCCCTGGGAAGGAGAAACCTCTAGGGCACAGGCTGGGGCTCCCACCCCAGCCCTGTTCCAGCTGGGGTTTGCGCAGTGTGGTTCCCAGCCTGGTGGCACCAGGGTTAGTACCTGCATCCTGCAGCGCCCGCTCTCCATTCTGATGCCCTGTTGCTGGCGTCCTGGGAGTCCGGGGCCTGACGCCCCCGCCAGAGGCTCCCTGGTACAGCGGCCAGAAGGAAGGATGACACAGCGTCCGGCCTGAGAAGGAGGCGCCTGACCCACAGCTGGCCCCCTGAGGAGGGGAAGGACAGGGTACCGGGGCGTCAGCCCTCCCCAACGCAGCCCTGCCCACCCAAGCCAGAGCCACAGGCTCCCCCAACTCACCCACACCAGCCGAGCTCCTGCTTTAGCCTGGTAGTTGGGGTCCCAGGGCGCTAGCAGAGTCATCCTTGAGGGGGCCACCTCCCAGATCATCTGGGGGGAAAGGGGAACTGGGGGGGATACTTGAAGGGGTTAAAACAGGCTCAGAGGCAGTGAGAGGATCTTGGGGGTGGTTAGAGGCAGCAGGCCCCGTCCTACCTGGGGATCCTGGCGACTGCTCAGGGGCCGGGTCCCCGCCGTGGCGAGGCAGGAGCTGCTCCGTCTGGGTCCAGGACGCACTGAGGGCCCGGGGCTGCGGGCTGGAGGGGGAAGCACTAAGATGCTCCAGTTGGGCGTCCCCACTGCCCTGTCCTAGTATTTCCTAAAGCCCAGGGGTAGGCCAAGGGTGCCTGGTCTGGGGGAGACTGCCGGACCCATACCCCGGTAGGACAATACGGTCTGCTCCATCTCCTGTAAGGCGCCAGGCCAAGGCATGGAGGCCCCCCCCAATCAGATGTCCCCCAGCAGCTCCAGCCGAGCCCCTCACCTGTCCTGTGGTGGTGCTCCTGGCTCCCCTGGGGCTTCCTCTCCAGAGCTCCAGGCCGCGCCCTGGTCACTGCCCTCGGAGAGGCCTGGCACCTCAGGCGCCTCCTCCTCACCCGCGCCCCACCGCGGAGGCGGCCAGGGCAACATGCCGCGTCAGGGAGTGCAGGGCAGCGCCGCCGTGCCCTCCCAGCCCGCTCCGCGACCCTCAGCGGCGCAGCCCTGCCCCCGGCGCGAACACACCTCCAAGGGCCTCGCCACAACGCCGGCGCCCAGCGCGTCTCCCTGGCCACGTGGCGCGCGCCCCCGCCGGGCTCCCGCGGGCGCCCCCTGGCGGCGGGGCGGAGAGGTCCGCCCGCCGAGTCATTCTCAGTCCGGCAGCCCGCGCACGGCGCTGCGGGACCAAGCGACTCACGTCCGCGTGACACCCGCACTGGCTCACAGACACACTCACACCTGAGGGCCATTTAGGGAGCTTCCGGCTTCTCTTTATTGCGCTTGACACGACATCGCTGGGCCTTCCACCCAGAACCTCTGCCGCCGGGGAATGACCAGCCAGGTAGGCTGCGGAACCCAGGCTCAGGGCCAGGCCCCAGGCCGCCCTCACCAAGTCCTTGTTAGAGGACAGAGCCCAGGCGCGTCTTCCGTTCCTGGGGTCCCGGCGGTCGGGCCCTGCGCGCCTAATGCCACCCCTAAGGTCGTTCCAGCAGTGCGTGGACTACAGCAGCGATGTGGGGGAGGCCCCTTCCTGGGGCCCCCTCCTCTTCCAGGATGTGGTGGGGCTGGCACAGGGACTCCTGGGGGGAGGGGCCCGGGTTAATTTCCCCCTTGTCACCCACTCTACTCAGCTTCCCTGCCCTGGCAAGGTGTAGGAGACGAAGGTCAGGGGCATCCGGGGCAGACACTGTGTACCCAGGACTTGAGGACAATGAGATGCAAGGAAGCTGCCAGCAGATAACAGAAGGGAGAGGACACGGGGATCCAGGCTCAGGGGGCAGGAGAGGCCTGTCATCCCCAGAGGGAAATGCTGGAGCAGGCAGGCTGGCACACAGAGGTCCGCCAGGGCCACTGCCGGGGCCAGCGACGGGAGCAGACACAAACACACACACAGGCGGCCACAGTCTGTACAGTTTATACACAGAGACAAGGACCCAGCCTGGGCCCTGCATTGCTACAAATATAGAGTTCTCTCTACAAAATAGAGATAATTTAGCCCCCCAGGGCAGCCAGTGGCGGGGTGGGGGGGGCGGTCATAGAGGAAGGGAGAGAGTCAAGGCTCCCCTCTGGGGGAACAAGGGCAGGGGCGGGAGCATGAAGGCCCCATCAGCACTGCGAGGGTGGGGACCACTGGGGGCTGGAGGGGGGCGGCCAGAGGCTGGGGACCCAGGGTCTGGGGGCACCAGAGTGGGGCCTCTGAGGTGTCTGTGAAGGGGGTACACTAGTGTCTTTGGTAGGGGATGAAGGCACCACCGGTGGGGGTGGGGTTGAGCAGGAGTCTTATAAATAGAAATGGGGGAGGAGAGGATGGGGGAGGGGAGGATGGGGGAGGGGTGACTTCGGGTCCTAGGAACCCAGGAGCCGAGTGTAGACAACATAGAGCAGCAGCATGACCACCACGTAGAAGAAGATGAAGCCGCGCAGACCAGAGGGGGGCCAGAGGGGCGGGGGGGCCTTGCCCCCCACCCACTTCACAGCCTCCAGTGTGGTCCGCAGTCCCTGGGCGGTGCCCTGGAGGAGATCCGAGGGCGAGCACAGGTCAGCCTGAGGAGGGAGAGTGGGGCAGATGGACAAGGACAAAGGACAGGCGTCAGCAGCAGCAGCAAGACAATCTTTCCCACCCCCTGCCCTCACGTGCCAAGGCCAGAGCCACACGAACGTGCAGGCATGCAGGGCAGGAGACATGCAGAGCAGGGGACATGCAGGGTGGGGGCACGAGGACATGCTTATTTCTGGGAGCAGACCCCCGTGAGGGGAACCCCACCATCCATGCAAAGTGCTCGGCTGAGCCTAGGATGCTGCCACTCTTTAGAGAACAGCCCCCATACCTCAGGCACCCCCATTTTTCGACAAGCTTCTAAGAAACTCTCCACATTCTTCCGAGACTTGAGAGCACTGAGTTTTGGCTGGGGGTGGGTAAGAAAAGAGGGTAAGGGGAGAGGCCACAGGCAAGCCCTGTTCTATCCCCTACTTCCTGCCCTGGCCCCTACTGACCACAGCAGGTGAGGGCACGTGAATGAAGGGCACGGCGCGGGGCCGCAGCTGGTTGGCCAGCTGACAGAGGATGACCCCATTGGCCAGAGCCTCGGCCAGGTCCTCAGGCAGGGGCCGCTGCAGCCGTGACTCAAGGACCTGGGAGGCAGGGGAGACAAAGGAGCAGGTCAGAGACAGGAGGGAACTCAGGACTGCCCCTTTCTGTCCTCAGGGTAAGTACCAGGGGACAAAGGACATTGAGGGAGGCCTGGGTCCCGAGGAAGGAAACCCCAGGAGGCGCCAGGTGGAGCCCAGGCCCTGTCCACACAGATCCCACCTCTGCTTACCTGGCGCAGCTGAGCCATTAATTCCTTCTCGTCCGGAACCTGGGGGGATCGCCGAGGTCTCAGGACAGAGTCTGGTGAGGAAGGGCCTAGGAGGAGAGGAGGGCATGTAGCTGTCTCCACTACTCACCATGGACTTTGTGGCTGGGTCCCAGTGGTTTGGCACCCACACCACTGCCTCCCTGCTTATGGGATTTTCAACACAAAGGACAACAGAATCAGAGAAATCCCAGGCCAGAAGGGTGACACAGCCCAGCAGTTAGTCCTGGTTAGTGCTGGGTCAGTGCCGGAAAGGTGGGGAGACCCACCTGAGCCACTCTGAGAGGAGGAACGGAAGAGGAAGCTGTTTGGTCTCTGAATGGAGCCGAGCGGCCGGGGAGCAGGTGCTGTCGCTGAGGGCCAGAGCCAGGGACAGGGCATGTGAAAGAGACATCCACTCCCGATCCCACTCTTCCCTCAGGCCACCAGGTCCCAACAGCCCCTCACCTACACAGCCCCCCATTCTCTTCTCAAAGCCTGTCCCACCTGGTCCAGCTGTAGGAAGGGGCTCCTGGGAGGTGGAGGCAGTAGAGGGGGCTCCCTGCCCCGCTGTGGCTCCCAGTTGGGTGGCATTGGACTTCGGTGTGCCACTGAGGAGAGACAGGAGTGAATTAGAGAGGATGGTCAGGGAAGGAGGTGCAGGGAGAGGACTCAGGCAGGAAACCTACTTGTAGGTGGCTTGAGTGGACAAGGCAACAGCTCCTCCCCCAGCAGCCCTGGTTCCCAGCTTTAGGAAACTGCAACAGCGAGGAGAGACAGAGTCAGTGTGCTCTCAGGGCCACCAACCCTGGAGCAAAGCAACTCAGGAGGGGCTTATTTCCATCCATTTCCAGGGCCCACCACCCAGCAACAGCCCCAGCTGAGCCTGTGCCCACACCTGTCCTTCCTGGGGGCGCCCCACGCCCCGCTCTGCTGCTGCTGCTGCTGCTGCTGCCGCCGCTCCCGCTCCTGCCACAGCTGCAAGGTGTCTGGGCGCCTCCGTTCCTCCCCTGCTGGCTCCTCCCGCCTAAGGGGCCAAGATAGCAGAGAGGTAGGGGTCAGGGGAAGGAGGGAGGCCCAGGAGGCTGGGAGGACGGGCGGCGGTGTTGGTGCAGGGGGCTCTGGGGTACCTGCTGCTTGGTGCCCTCTCCCCATCCCCTGCCACAGGGCTTAGTTCAGGTGGCCGCGGCTCCTGAAGAGAGAACAGCAGAGAGGCCGAGGAGGCCTGTGCCCTCACCCCTGCACTGTCTCCTCCCTCCAGCTCCCCCTCCCCTGGCAGACACGGCTGGATGGACCCTCACCTCAGCAGCACCTCGCTCTTCGTCCTCTCCAGGGACGTGGCTGTCAATGAAGTCAATCTGCTCAGGGTCTCCGTCAGCTGGAGAGGCCGGGGCATGTGAGCAGGCAGGGGGCCCTCAGACCTTCACCCATCACTCCCCTCCCTGGCTGACTCAGCTACTCACCAGTGCCATCCTCCCTCCTTTCTCTGGGCCCCCGAGGCTCCCGAGCCAGCTCTGATATCCGGAATGACAGCTCCGAAAACTCATCTGTTGACTATAACGGCAGAGATGCCAAGATGGGACAGCCTCTCTGCAGGGCTGGGGCTTGCAGGGGTTCAGGGCCTACAGGGTTCTGTGTGGGACTGAGATTGGGGTCTGTTGCTGAGCCAGCCCTTCCCTAGAACACTGGGGAGAAGGAAGGAAGAGGACACAGCTCCAGCCACTGTTTTGACACTCTGGGATTCGGAGGTACCAGGCAAAGGGTCCCCAGTTCAGAGGTTCTCTCCCCGGACTGATACCCCCAATCTCTTGGAAAGGAGGCCCTTACCTCATTTCCAGACCACCTCTTGCTGCCACTGTCAACGCTGTGGAAGCCCGAGTCCAGCCCACCATCGTACCGACGTCCCGGAAATAAATCCTCAGCAGGGCTGGGGCCAGCCAAGGAGGTCTGGTCAGTCCCATGCTGGGCAGCAACTCCCTCATCCTCCCTCCAGAAACCAGGGTCCTTGGTGCCAGGAAGGGGAATTAAGTCTCCAGGTGCTTCCTTCCATCACACCCTAGGACTTACCAGGGACTGAAACTAGGGGGCCGGGAAGGGGCCAGGTCCCCTAATGCAGACCCCCGCTGCCCAGCCTCTGTTGACAAGTACTTGAAGATGTGAAGTTTCCCCTTCAGGCAGATCTGCATGTGAGGAGGCACATACCCAGCAGTGAGGGCAGCTCCCCAGATCCTGCTTGGCTACCAAAGGGATCACCCTCACTCCGGCCCAGCCTCATCCCTGTCCCCTGGTCCACCCAGGCCAGCGCCTCACCTGGGCAGGCGGGCTCTGCAGAGGGTTGCTGTCCAGCAGAATGACCTGCAGGTGCCTGAGGCGGCAGAAGGAGACCGGGATGCGGGAGACACGGTTACAGGAGAAATCCAGGCGGACAAGAGGAAGGTCCCCCAGCTCTGGGGGTGGGTGAGGGAAGAGTCAGGAGTATGCCCAAGGAGGGGCCCTGTGCTCACCTCCTCACCCTCTGCTGTGACCAGATGGTCACCCCTGGGCCCATCACAGTCTCTCCCTGGGGTGGCTCAGGTCATTCCCCAGGAACCACCTCTCTGCTCCTCTCTCCGCTCAAATCCAGTCAACCTGGAAGT